TTCAAGATGGCTCCCAGGCCCTGCTTCAGCAGTATTCTTCTGAGTCTATAAGAAGTCACTGTCTCCTAGTCCCCAGCTCCTATGGAAGAACCCACTCCCCATCCCAGGTCCTGATTTCTCCCCTTCTTCCCACCCAAAGGCCTAGTGTCTCTTGTCTGGGCCTCCAGGCTGCTTTTACTTGTTCTCTCTGCATGCTGCTGGGAGGTGGCAGCCTGTGCTGCTGGTGACCAGAGCACCGGAAGGGGATCTATCTGGAGCTGTTCTGGGCTCTTCTGCTGAGGAGCAGACCTCCACCTACTCCTCCCTGGGGCTGGGAGGGTTGCTGAGAAGACACCCCTGCTGCCCTCCCCCACCAAGCACACATAATATTGCTCTCTCTTCAGAACTACCACCATCTTTCTGAACCTCCTTATCATTCACCTTCTGAGTGGCTGATGTGTGGACCAAGTGACATCACTGAATGTGAAGGGGTATGGGGAAATGTTATATCAGTGTAAGGGGTGATGAGACCTCACTAACATTTGACCACCATCTTTAAGATAGTAAATTCTGGAGGGAGGAAATAGGGTGGGAGGCACACAGAGGCCAGCAGACACCTGCAGTTATGTACCTAGCAGCTGCAAAGTCCCATTCTGCAGAAGTGAATGTCAAGGCAGGCTAAAAGCATTGCTCAGGGGTTCAAGAACCTGACTTCCTCCATACCAGGCCTCCTCAAAGTCTGAGGCCAGGCAGAAGATGGACAAACACCCCATCATCTCTGTGTTTGTCAGAGGTTCAATCAAGGCCAAAGAGAAATGTGCTGAGGCTGGTTGCCATATATTCCTCCATCGTCAAGATGAGCATCATTTCCTAGCCACAGGCTCTGGGCCTGAGACCAGCCTCTGAACCACTGTGGACAAACAGAAAAGGGGGAAGAGGGTGATAGGATGGGAGAAAAGGGGGTGCCAGGGCCTACAAAGGCTGGAGGTGGGAGTGGGGCTAAGGCTGGGTTCAATTAACCTGGCTAGGCCAAGTCTCATGACTTCGCTTGGGCTCTCTGAATACAGCCCCTGCCCTGAACCTACCCTAGAAGAGGAACTCTTTATTCTGCTAGCAAGTGTTGCTGAACACTTGAGCCAAGCACTGGGTGCAATGAATATGGAAATGATCCAGACATAGATAACTCCTGATTTCAGGGACCACAGAGATGGGACACAGAGAGGAAAGGAGCTAGGGCTATGAGATAATGTTTTCAGGAGCTTGCTTGTGGACAGAACTCTTTAAAGGATGGATAAAATTGACAGGACTAGAAAGAACATTTCAGGTCAAAGGTCCAGGAATAAACATAGAAGGATCTAGTGGGAATAGAGGCCTAAGAGAAGGTAGTGCCTTCAATCCGGGAAGGGTATTATGACAGTTCTGCTGCAATGCCAGCTGGTGGGGACCACCTCAGGAAGCTGAAGTGCTCTCTTGTAAGATGTAGTGGCTTATGCTACAAATCAGTGACCAAAATGTGAGGCTATTTATCTAATAGTAAGAAACCAAAAAGTATAGTATAGGGGGTGGCACCTACAATGAATCTGCCAAATAACCTACTCTCAAAAATGACGAGAGAGAGAGAGAGAGAGAGAGAGAGAGAGAGAGAGAGAGAGAGAGAGAGAGAGAGAGAGAGAGAAGGAACTTGTGGACATGGACAACAGTGTGTGGTGATTGCAAGGAGGAGGAGCAAGTGGAATGGAAGAGGGCATAGAGGCGATAAATGATGATGGGGAAAAATGAAGAAAGGAAAAAAAGAGGTCTGCTTTGTAACAGTCCCAATGGCCTGTTCTAGAACGATGGCTCCAGGTGTCAACAATGGGTCCACTGTGCTGTAAACAGAAATTTTCTGACCTTTGGCCATTTGGGATATCTCATATGACTAGGAAAACGGGCACAAAAGTGGCCTATGGTATTGTCAAGAACCATTTAGAGATTTTTATTATCAACAACAGAAACCAACTCTAGTTAATTTAAGCAGAACAGTTTTATTGGAAAGCCATGAGGGAGTGGGGCTTGGGAAATTTTCTGGGAGGCTGAAGAATCAGAAACTGGCAGGGACAAGGGAACTGGGCAGCCAAGGACACAGCCACATTCTGCACAGGAGCTATTGGCCACCAGCACCATCAGCTTGGACTACACTGTCATCACCACAGCAGCCTGGGAGCAAACACATGGTGACCCCGACTCCTCTGACTTCCTCCCTCCAGACTTAAGGTTCTGAACACTAGTGTTAGATGCTCTTAGCTGCGGTCCCAGGTCCCAGCCGCTCAGGGCCTGGGGCCCAGGTTTCGTTCCTTGTTGAGAGAGCCTCATCTCCAGGAAGGGCTCTCTACAGTGATAGGCTTCTCCATCACCAGCAAGGGGCTGCAGGCGCTGGGGAGGAGTTTCCTTCCCTGGATTGACTAATTCAGACTCAAAGGAAAATTAGGGCTCCTGTTATGCCCGGGAGCAGGAAGACAACCAAGACCCCTGGGTGCCCCTAACCTACCTCTTCATGTGGTGCCTGTCTGGTACAGTAAAGGTTAATATTAGGCAAACCACCACAACCCCGCCCAGCAAGGGCCTCTAAGGTCACACACAGACTGTGGAGTCTCATGACAGCTGAGGTGCTGGCAGAAGTCCAAAGGGGAACACAGAATGTCTGTGGGGGACGAAGTTATAAATACCAACTTGACCAGGTGCAGCAAAAAAGGACTGTGGCTTCTACCCATGTTTCCATACTTGCAGTGAGAGAATAATAATCTTTCGGGGTTTTTTAATTGGGAATTTTTTTTATTTTACTTATCTTGTTAATATTCATTGAAATACACTGAGACTGAAAAAAAATCAAGCAAATTAATTATTTCATGTTAAGAAATCAACCCCCCGCCCTTTCTCACTCTTTTCCCCTAACCCCCTGTCCCTCCCCAGAGATACCTGCTGCAATTAGTTAGCTATGTAGCCTCTAGACACTTGTTTGCATTTTTGTATATAGTTTGGCTTTTATCTTACATAAAGACTGTACGTATTCTACAACATGCATTTTTCTTATTTAACATTATGTCTTGGAGTCCTCTCCGTACCAGTACATACAGTTTTTAACTGCTGTATAGTATTAATCCACACTACCCAAGTACTGAAGTCAGGCTGAAGGACAGACCCCACTTAAGATTTTGGAAGATAGCAATTCCCCAAACTGCTCTCCAAAAAGGCTGCTATGGTTTACATTCACACCAACAGCAGGAGTGTTCCATTTCTTCTCTTCCTAGCCCAAACTAGATATTATCACAAAGAAAAACCACTGCTTTCTGATGGACACAATGTTTCATTGTTGTGTTAATTTCCATGTCACTGGTTGCTGGTGAGGTTGAACATTAACCATATCCAGGCTGCTGGAGCTGAAAACAGCTCTCAGAAACTGTTAGGAGGAACATAAATGAGTACACTTTGAAAGCAGTTTGGGAACATCTAGTTTGGATGAAGATGCTCAGACCCTAAGAACCAAAAATTTTACTTCCAACCCTAAAACCCAGAAATTTCATATCCATATACTTACCCCTAGAGAAACTCACACATGTGCACAGAGATATCTGCTGGTATGTTCACTGCCAAAAAATACTAGGAAGAACTTACATGTCTACCAATAGGAACAGATAAATAAATTGTAGTAATTTATACAAATGAATATTTAGTATACAGCAGTTAAAATGTATGCACTAGATCAACATGTATGAAAATAGCTAAATCTCAAAAACAATGTTGAGTGAAAAAAATCAAGTTGTAAAACAATACACACATTCTACCAATTATGTCCATTTAAGAATAGAAACACTCTACATTAGATATAGATATATGCAGATATACCTATATACATACACATATACATCAATATGTACACATATGTATACACACATATATGTTTAAACAAAGACAAGAAGTAAACATACCATTTCCTGGGTAGTGCTTACCTCTGTGGAGGAAGATAAATATGACAGGTGAGGAACTTCACTTGTACCTAAAAATTATTTTTACTGGAAAGAGGGAGCTGAAATCAATATGGCCAAATGCTAGTGCCCGTTCACTATGTAGGTGGGTGCCTATATATTTTCATTACTTGTCTGGCATATATTTTTCTATTCCTTTTGTGTCATTGTGTTAAGGTATACAATCCACATACAGTTTTATATTTGTTACTCAGTCCCTATGGGAGTTCCTGTTTTATGAAAGGGGATTTTAACTCCTTCATTCCTACACTCAGTTTGAATTTACTCCTACCATTGTTCTTTCATTTTACCATGCTTTCTTGTTTCCTTCATTCCTGACAGTATTCTATATGCAGCCTTTGCCCCATAGTAGTTTAATAAACACATACTTTATTCCTACTTTTAGAAATAATTACCCTTAATTTTGCTGTTGTCAGAGTCAGTTTTTCAAGGGATACTAGTTTTCCTACTGTTTGGAACGCCAAAAACCCTATTTTGATGCAAATGCAAGGGATCCATTTAAAAAGTCACTTAGTACCATTGTTTTAGATAAAACCAAACAATGCCACTGTAGCATGTAAAACCAAAAGAAGAACTTTAATAAGCTTTTCTGGCACTCTAATTAATTACAGGAACATTAACCCATACATGCAACAGAAATGGGGATTTATGGACATATTTAACAGATAAACTTGATATTATAATTAACAGCAACATATCTACTGAAAAAACAAATGCAACAGATTTCAATATTCAGGTTAGAAAATGCATGTTCTTTTGCAATCTTAAGTAGCATTTAGAAAGTTTAATTTTCCCTTTGTCACCTCTAAAACACAGTATGATTTTTAATGCAATCGTACACAACCGTTTCACATTTGAAATGATCACAAGAAATCAACTGATGTACTAGATTAATGGACTGATTGGTTTCATTGCAATTGTTAATTCTGAGAGGGATCCTGCAGTATTCTGGGTTTTAGATGGGGAAAATCAATAGACCAGGAGGAAAGAGCCTTGGTCTTAAAGCTGGGGAGGGAACATGCAGCGGCACACAGGGCAAGTGCCGGACTTCTGAAGCCAAATGGACACACATGGCTTGTGGAAAAAGTGGTGACATGGCAGCTCAGTTGCCATCTCCCCCTTCACATATTCACTGCAACATATGGGGCAACACATTTCTTGCCCTATTGCACTGTGGTCTTCACTGATGATGATCTCAGGAAGATTGTCGATGCTCTCCTTGCTTGCTGGTGGATTGGCCACCTCCACGTCCACTGCAAGAGACTCCAAGTGTGCGAGGGCCGTTTCCATTGCCTGTGCCAGGCGTTCTTCAAGTGCCATATATGTGAGGAACTGAGGATCCACGTAGGAAATGGCTTCGGCCACTCCCAACCCATCTGCAAATCCATCAAAGAGGCTCCAATCCACTTCTAGGTCTTCACTCACGCTGGAGTCATCTTCCAGGTTGTTGTTGCCATCCAGCATGAAGACCCCAGGATGCAGAAACTCCTGACCAGAATCATTATCCTCCTCACTGCTACTCTCATTTTCAACTTCTCCTTCTTCCGGCAATGCCTGCTCCACTTCCTGAGGAGCTGGTCTTTGAACTTCTTTGATTTCATTGCTGACATTGCTGCCAGTGATGGCACTAGCACTGGGACTGGCACTAGCATTGGGGCTGGCACTAGCACTGGGGCTGGCACTAGCACTGGGGCTAGCACCAGCGTTGACAATCACTCCAGTATTCACTCTGGCTGGCTCAGGCTCATGCTCTTCTTTCCCCGGTTGAGTCTCCCAGCTTTCGCCATTGGACGATGGGTTTTTCTCTTCATGCTTCTGCTGCTTTGCGTCTTCATCGCAATATTTCTTCTCATCATTGACTCTCCAGAAGTCATGGTCAGCCATGGTACATCGCCGTCTTGGCACCTTTTCTGGCTTCACTTGGTCGTTCCTGGCTTCCCTCTCGTTCTCAGGATACTTCGGCTCAGAGTAGCCACTTGAACTCTCACCTCTGCCTCTCCTTGCCCGGCTGCCCAAGTGGCCCTCACCAGTGATGGCAGTGTCCCTCCACCTGGAAGTACTGTGTGGCATCTCATCATCATCATCAGTATCAAAAAATATTTTTGGTTTCACGCAGTTTGGACTGTCCAGATTTCTGATTTTGGGCCTCACCACTGGTTCCTCTGCAGGCTTAGGGATATTTTCCCCACCAGCACGAACAATCACAGGACCCCTGCTGGGACGCACAGGTACATTCTGCTCCTGTCTGTCCCTATCCAGGCTGTCGCCTTTTGTAACCAATTTCGTGTCAGCAGCAGAGGTCTGAGGAGCCATGCTCTTTTGCTGCAGGAACTCAGCTCTGCCAGTAGAGCGTATCACTGTAGGGGCTGGGTCAAGCTCCTTTCTCACATCACTGTTAAAACTAGAGAACTGGGGGGGCACACCAACCAAAGACCTTGCCCCTTTCTCTGGGTCATACAGCTTATCGCCTTTAAACTTGCCAGCTTTCCCTCTCACTGGCACTCGCTCCACAGGCCCAGCCCCCTCCTCCTCGCTATCATCTGCCCCAAAAGAGTCATTATGTCCATAAGCCATTCCTCTTCTGCTACCCAGACCCCTGTACTCTCTGGGAGGGTACCTGGAGTAGTCCTCATTATCAACATTCAGGCTGCTTCCTGAATTCTCACTGTCATCCCAACGATGACGATTGGTGGAAAATGGCGATCGGCTCCTCTTGGTGGTTTGACTGGGGGCTGATCTGTGCATTGGGACTTCAGAAGTCGTCTTTCTCTGGCTGGAAATCCTTTCCTGCTGGCTCGTGGATGGCCTGAAACTGACATAGGCATGCATTCTTTCATACCTCCTTCCTGTATGGGACTGATACCCTGCTGCTGGCTTTGGCCAAAAAGGCTTGCTAGATTCCTGACCCACTGCTCTGACTTAGGAGGGTTTACAATAAAGCTGGGGCTCAAGTGGAAAGGCTCCTGCTTCCTATACACATTTTGGAGATGGGAAGGTCAAATCAGTTCAGAATAAAGGAGCAGGGAGATTTCTTTCTACTTCAGCAGGCAGGTAACAGAAGGAATAAGGGGCCTTTAAAATTAGTTTCACTTTCTTTTAAAGCCTGGAGTAGCATTCCAGTGACTGTCAGGTGTAGACTGGAATACATTTTAATGTTAGCAAAATCATTACAAAACTGGGTTTGTAGGAAAGTGAAACTGAGGGGAGAATCTGACAGAAGATGAGGAGGGGTGACTGGACGCTGGGTGGGTGGGTGAAGAACTGTGGAATTGTGCCAACATGTTAGAGGAAAGACTGCTGTGGGGTTTTATGGAGTGTCTGCATTTTTATGAGCCCTGCAGACATACAAGAGAATTGTGAATTGGAATAGGGTAGAAAATATAGATCACTGTGTGTGCATTGAGTGCATATGGGTCTATCAGAAGCAGAGGGACAGGTGAAAGGGGAATAGCAATCATGCAATGGAGAGATGGCTATGTTTGTAGGGGGAAGGTGCAGGTGACAGTGGCATTGGGAAGAAGTGTCATAAGAATAAGATCCATTCTGGATGTGGGTATAAAAATGACAGCTGTGGGTAGGATGGCTTCAGAGGAGAGGGGAGTGTATAAGTAGGAGAGAAACAGAATGTGCACTGTATGATTCTATTTGTGAAGAGACGCCTGGGTTTATGTTTCTGTAGAAGTCAAGGAAGGGTATGGTGGCACTGGACAGGTGTGTGTGTGTGTGTGTGTGTGTGTGTGTGTGTGTGGTGTGTGTGTGGTGTGTGTGTGTGTGTGTGTGTGTGTGTGTGTGTGTGTGTTCGTCAAAATGGAAGACAACAGTGCACTGCAGGGACCAGAAAAAGAGGGCTGTCTGTGCACATGCGTAGTAGACAGGAGAGGGGAGCATTTGGGAGGGGTGTGTGGAGTGTATTTGTATGTAAGAGGCCTATGAAAGAGGACCCAGCATTCTGACTATATCATTATATATGTATGTGGCCAGTCCTGGAGGGTGAGTTTGTGTGTATATGTATGTGTATCTGGGGAAAGGCACTGAAGGGTGTGACTGTTTGGGGATGTGTCCATGCATGCATGGGGGAAGGGCCACACAGGAACCTTGAGTCCTGGGGGAGGGGATTTCAATGGAATGTTTCTGTGTGTGCACCCACGGGTGTGCATGTGTGTGTATGTACGTGCTTGTGTGTGCCCTTGTACGCGCGAGACACGGGAGGGGGATGGGAAGACACCAGGAGGTAGAGGGAGAGAGAGGTAAGGGGAGGGGGAGCAGGCTGCAATGTCAAAATGAGAGCCAGGAAAACATTATCGGCTCAAATAGCAAATCCAAACCAATGTGGCAGGGAAAGGGGGAAAAAAACGATGGGGGAATCGTTTTTCCCCTGGGAATAATTTGTTGTTGTTTTTTTTTTTTCTAACGAAAAATATATTTACCTAAAAATCTTAACAATTTACGTTCAGCAAACCGAATGCAAAATGGGAGCTGCAACGGGGCTGAGAAGGGAGGAGAGGCAGGGAGAGGTGGGAGAGTGCTGAGACCACTAGTCCCCTCAGTGATTAAAGCTATTTGAGTGCGGGGCCACACCACAGGAAAGGGGCTGACGATGGGGCTCCCTAACAGGCCAATGGAGGACACAGGCCTCCCACTGCAGTCAGGTCCCGAGAATGCCCCACCCCTTCCCGAGGGGCGAGCCGGAAAATCTGCGAGCTAGAGCTCCTCCAAATCCTCTCCCGGGCCCGGCCAGTCGCCCCACCGCCCTGTCCGGATGAAAGCAGGACGTCTACAGCCTTTCACTCACCAGTCCGGACACCCTCGCGCCCTGGAGCTCTGGGACCTCCAACCGCCAAGACCGCCAAAGCCGCTGCTGCTCTGGGTCTGGCTCCTCCTCAGCCAGATAACAGCGGGCAGGCGGCGGCGGAAGTGACGGTGGCTATAGCTGGGGCCGCCCCCGAGATGTGGCGGGGGTGGCATCTGCTCTAGACAAATCAGGGTGGGCCCAAAAGCTTTATTTCATTTTAAATGATGAATTCGCCAAGGATACAGAAAAGGACAGTGAGAAATGTAACCAAGAGTCTGTTTTAACAAATGTTAACCATTTAGCCATATTCCTTTCTGTTTTTTTTTTCTTTTTCCTTTTAATAAAATGAAATCTGCAAATTCTTTCTGATTAATTCCAATATGAAAGTAATTATATTAATATACATTCTATTACATCTTATGGTTTGTACTGGAAGTATTAAAAACGTGAAACTATACTTAAGTTTGCAGAAATGTGTTTTATTTACCTGCTTGAGGCAAACTGAGCTGTTTACAGTAAAATTTGTTGTTATTAGTCACAAAATCAAGCTACTCTATCCAAAATAAATGATCAATCATGAAACACAAGCACAGGTTCACATTCTGGTAAACACACTGCAGTTTAAAAACATTACAGCCATTATTTTTGGGTTGATACAATTTGAACTCTGAATTTCTTTTTTTTTAAATTGCACTTTACAATGTATCTCTAATATTTGCAACAATAACAAATAGATTCACAACAATAGTGAAGTTTTGTTCTGCCTGGAAATAAAATGCATAGTAGAAGAACAAGAAATTTTAGGGGTACCAACAGAATGAAAATAAGATGTATAACTTTCAAACCATTAAAACATATGTATAATGAAGAGAAAAACTCAGTTTAACAAAGGGCAAAACTGGGTAGAGAGGCAACAAGAATGGATGTTTAAAAAAAAAAAAGACAGAACAGGAATAAATTCAAATATATCAGTATGCATCATGGGTTCTCCTATAAAAAATATCATTTTGAACATTTCATTTTCAGAAATCTAGTTATATGCTGTTTATATAAATTTCACCTAAAACAAAAATAAGAATGGAAAATATGCAGCAGTTTAACACTGACAGAAAGGACAGAAGGAAAAGCATAGAAAGGGAGGGAAGGTGGAGGGAGAGGGAGGAAAACATTTTTTTAAACCTTCACCCCAGGAATGAGGATATTTACCCATTGATTTTTAGAGAAAGTGGAAGGGGGGCTGGGGAGATGGAGAAAAAGAAACACGGATTGAACCTGCAACATAGGTACTCTTTTTAAAAATATATATATTTTATTGATTTTATACAGAGAGGAAGGGAGAGAGATAGTCAGAAACATCCATGAGAGAGAGTCATCGATCAGCTGCCTCTTGCACACCCCCTACTGGGGATATGCCTACAACCAAGGTACATGCCCTTGACCGGAATCGAACCCAGGACCTTTCAGTCCCCAAGCCGACATTCTATCCATTGAGCCAAACCAGTGCCGGCGCAACATAGGTACTCTTGACAGAAAATCTAACTCACCACTCTTAGGTACCTGGGCCAACACTCTAACCACGTTCAAACCAGCCAGGGCAGAAAAAAAAAAAGTTTTTTAAAAAGAAAAAAAAGAGAAGGGGAAAAGGAAGAAAGAAAAGAAGGGAAGAGATATAGTAATGTTAATCTTAATATAGGAAAAATAAAGAACTCAAACTAAAAAGCATTAACGAGAACAAAATAGATTGCTTCATTTGCCAAGAAGATATAGTTGCTAAAATTTATATGCCAAACAATGTAATTTCCAAGTATATGAGGCAAAACTGTTAGAAATAAAGATATCAGAAAGTCTGCAATTATAGAGGGAGACTTTGCCATAGTTGTTATGGTATAGATAAATCAAATAGATTAAGAAATTAGGATATAGAGAGATTGAACAATACAATTAATAAGATTAATAAGTTTGCTCTAATGTATATGTATTCATGTATTGAAGAAAGAATGCATTTAAAAAATATGCTTTCATTGATTTTTTTAGAGAGAGAGAGGGAGAAGGAAGAGATAGAAACATCAATGTGATGTGAGAGCAGAACATTGATTGGCTGCCACATGCACTCTCCCTATGGGGGATAAAGCCCATAACCTAGGCATGTATCTTGACCAGGAATCAAACCAGCAACCTCTTGGTTCATGGGTTGACACTCAATCAGAGTTACACTGGCCAGACAAGAAAGAATACATTTTAATTACAAATATTTAAAAATTTCAAACAAACAGAAAAGTACCTAATAAAATATGTACATTTACACATAACTGTCACAGAGATTGAGCAAATTTTATTTTCTGCTTTTAAAGCAAAATATTACAGTTGAAGCCCTCATTTTATCCTATTCATCTTACTTCTTTTCCCCAAAAAAGCACCACTTAGACTTCCTTCTGTCCGTATTTGCTTTTCTTTTTCTACATATGTAGATATCTGTAACCAATACACATTATAATTTTATGCAAATAGAAATAACAATCAGAAAGGATATATGCACCCCTATGTGCATAGCAGAGCAATTTTACCATAGCTGAGATTTGGAAACAGCTTAAATGCCCATCAGCAGATGAGTGGATTAGAAAATTATGGTACATTTGCACAATGAATACTACACTGCTGTAAAAAAGAAGGAACTCTTCTCATTTGCAGCAGCATGGATGAACTAGAGAGCATTGTGCTAAGTGAAATTAGCCAGTCAGAAAAAGATAAATATCACATGATATCAGTTATTGGTGGAATATAATGAACAACATAAACTGATGAGCAACAATAGAACCAGAGACATAGAAGCATCGAACATACTGTCCAACCTATGAGGGAAGGTGGGGTGGGTGGTGAGGGTTTAAGAGATCAACCAAAGGACTTGTATGCATGCATATGAGCATAACCAATAGATATAGACAGTAGGGGGGTG